ACCCAACCGGAACCCTCAAAGAAGCTAGAGATTTCAACCACCGAATTTACATTGATGGTTTTGATTGGAAAAGCACTACAGGGTATCAAGGATATGTTGTTCACTTGATTGATGAAGCCACGCAATTTCACTTGGGGAGACGCACAGTTCGTGATGGGATCCAAGCGCAAAAAGTATTTGAAGAATGTTGGAGCAGCTGGGCAGGAATACCAAGCGAACTAGTCATGGATTGCGGAGGTGAATTTGTTGCCGAACCATGGAAAGAATTCCTCCAGCAAGGGAATATCACCCCAATACTCACTGCAGGGCCATGGCAGAGAGGTAGAATTGAAAGACATGGAGCAATTGTCAAAGAGATGTTGTCCAGAATAGATCAAGCACAACCGATAAACAATGAAGGAGAATTTGAAAGAGCATTGTTTCAAGTCTTTCGAGCCAAGAATAGCCTCTCTACAACATGTGGCTACAGTCCTGAGCAAGCAGTCCTAGGAAAGGCAACAAGACTCCCCGCATCGCTGACCAGTGATGAAAGCACTCCGGCACACATGCATGCAGCCTTCAATGAAGGACCTGAGGCAGAAAAGTTCCGTGCGTCGCTGGAACTCAGAGTGTTGGCCCGAAAAGCCTTCATTGACAGTGACAACAGTCAAGCCATCCGCCGAGCTACCCTGAGGAAGTCCAGAGGGGAAATCAATGAATGGAAATGCGGACAACCCTGTATGTTCTGGGATAAGCGCAAATCAGCCAACATGATAGAGAAAGGAAAATGGTGTAGACCAGCTCAAGTTGTTTTGGTTGAATCAAAGACTATAGTTTGGATAACTCACATAAATAGGTTGTTGAGATGTGCAAGGGATAACCTCCGTCCGGTCAGCCTTAGAGAGTTTGAGCGACATGCGTCTTTCAGCCAACAAATCGATGCACAGCAGGCCCAAAAGTTGGCTGAGAATTTGCAAAGGAGACTCCATGAAAGAAGTGGAATGTTCCAATTCTCAGATCTAAGTGATGTCCCAGTTGAAGCACCCATGGAAGAGGACCACCCACTAGGAAATCAACCTGAAGAAGAACCTTCTAGAAGAGCCTCACATGAACCTGTGCCCGAAGCTCGAGAATTGCGTCCCGAAGAAGTGGCCATCCCAGAAAGTGTAGACCATGAATGGAGCGAGCCAAGTGATGTGTCACCAAGTAGCTTTGCACCCGAGCCTAACGGGGAAAATAATGTTACGGGGAGTAACTTTGGGGAGAACCTAAGTGGGAATGAGAGCATTGAAGACAGTAACATAGTCTATAATGCCTTCTTTTCGGAGTCCAATGTTCCCGGACCTGCCATCCCTAGCGACGAAGACACGCTATGGGATGATGCTCAAGAGGATCCTCGACCATACTGTGAGTATGAGTTTGATGTCCCCAAGCAGCACGTCCAAAGGTTCATAAAAGATCCCAAAATGAACACCTCCTTTTTGGCCACTGCAGCCAGGCGTGCACGTTCCGAAGTCCGATATGCCACATTGAATGCATCCGAGAGAGATCTCTTTGACAAAGCCAAATCTAAGGAACTCAACTGTTGGTTGGAAACCAGTGCTGTCAGGAAAATCATGAGATCCAAAATTTCCCCCAACCGCATCATGACGAGTCGATGGATTTTAACATGGAAACCTGACCCGTCCATGCCCAAGGGTCAGAAGGCCAAAGCCAGACTTGTTGTACGGGGATATCAAGACCCCGAACTTGATCAGGTAAGTACAGAATCCCCGACTTTGTCCAGAGATGCTCGAATGCTGTGTTTGCAGGTGATCGCATCGATGGGTTGGGTAGTCCAAAACTTCGATATAACCACGGCCTTTCTCCGTGGGAAATCAGATGGAAGGCAATTGGCCATGGAACCCGTTCCAGAACTTCAGAGACTTCTCAAAATGACAAGTGACGAGGTCCTGTTGCTAGAGGGTAACGCATATGGCAGAGTTGATGCACCGCTGCTCTTTTACAAGGAGTTTAGACGTCAACTAGAGAAAGTAGGATTTGAAGCTCATCCACTTGACAATTGCCTGTTCTTGTTGCGAAACAAAACCAATCCCGAAGTTCTGGATGGAATCTTAGGAACTCATGTTGACGATGGCATAGGAGGAGGGAATCACCACTATGAGAATGCCTTGAAAGAGTTGCAAAAAGTACTTCCATTTGGACAGAGAGAGTTCAGAAAATTTCGGTTCACGGGTCTTGAGATTGAACAGCTGCCTGATAACTCCATCAAAATCAGTCAGGAACCATATATCAATAAGATTGAACAAATACAAGTACCCAAAAATAGGAGAGCCAACAAAAATGAAATGGCAAACGCCCAAGAAGTTCAAGACTTGAGGGGGTTGTGTGGGAGCCTTCAGTATGCGGCTGTACATAGCAGACCCGACATAGCAGCAAAGGTAGCTTTTATCCAGAAGAACATTTGCAAGGCGACAGTGTCAACTCTCCTGGACGCCAACCGAGTGCTGATCGAAGCCCAGCAGACGGCTGATACGGCCATAATGGTGAGACCTCTGCCTTTGGAGCGAATCACCTTTGCAAGTTTCGGCGATGCAAGTTTTGCCAGTGCTTCTCAGTTAAAGGCCCAACAGGGATTGTTTATCGTTGCCTGCACGCCCGAACTTGCTGCCAACAAAACATCCGAAATCAGTCCTATGTCCTGGAATAGCAAACAGATAGGCAGAGTGGTGAGATCAACGCTTAGTGCCGAGGCATATGCAATGAGCTCCTCTCTTGACAAATTAACCTGGCTTAGGTGTCTATGGGGTTATATCCTAAGTCCAACCTTCAAGTGGCAATATCCCGAACGTTCCCTTCAAGCATGTCCCAAAGCTCTACTTATTACAGATTGCAAAAGTTTATATGACTTAGTCACTAAACTGGCAGTACCTAACTGTGAAGAGTGGAGAACAACTGTGGAGGTGATGCTTATCAAGCAGCAGGCAGAAGGGCATTCGCAGTGCCGTTGGATTTCTACAGCAATTATGCTGGCCGACTGTCTGACGAAGCCGATGGAATCCTCCTTTTTAAGGTCAGTGCTACGGCTGGGAAGATTCAGAATCTTTGATGAGAGCCAAACGTTACAAAACAACTCACACCGCAAGATCGCGGCAAAGTGGGTATCCTTACCAACCGCGGCACTGGAAGATGAGGATCCGAAAGTACATCCAAAAGAAAAATAGACCAGTGTGACTTGAGTAACCTTGGATGTACGAACCATATGCCACCTGCAGGCTGCATGGGAAACCAGAGACTTCGCCATCGCCACTGCGCATGGCTCAAGGCACGCGAGGTGCAAAAGCGAGGACGCGGCTGCTGTGGGCAGCACAGGTATCGAGAAGTGTAACAAGTTCATAAGGGCCCAGGGGGTCACGGTGAAGAGCCCTTTTAAGGGGAGATTTTCCTTTTGGGGTAGGAACCCCAAATCCAAGAAACTGGTTGGTACCGGTTTCCCTACCTTTGTGGACTCTTACCCGGGGAGCCACATGTATATATATATATATTATACCAGTAGTACCCGCACCAGGCGGGGCGGAAGTTGCCTTAGAGTTCTACTATAAGACCTTTTTCATCTATAGAACTTGCATGCGCTGTGCGCCAGCCAGGCCTGTGCGTGCGTGTTTGTTGTCCAAGAACACGACCTGCGCGCGACCCCGGCGCAATGCAACGCCAAGCAATGCTTTGCATTCCGAAGCTTAGACTTCACCCTTCACGTTGCATCTCAACTTCACACTTCGTCTCAACACATCTCATCTGAGCTCTTCCCACCTACTGCTTTGTACTACAAAGCTTTGTGCTACTTTGTACTGCAAAGCTTGCACAAGGCACTTCCCAGTACTATACTGCTTAAACGCCTAAGTTCTTCTCGACGACGATATCGACGTCAGACTACTTCTCACCTCATCCCACCAACTTCGTAACTCCTCTCAGTTCTTCTGTATGCTAAAAAGTTTTTGGTAACAGACAGGAGCTCTTGTGCACAAACTTTCTATATTGTATACCTAGGAAAGAAAAGCTGGTGGTATATTTACAATATTGTGGTGGCTAATTAATGCCAACCCATGCCAACCCCTCGTGAATTGCACCAAATCTCAACTGCAAGTCTTTCGTCAAAACAGCTTATTGTAAACATGGTGTCGTGGTTATTTGTCAGTCAGACACACGCACACAGAGTCCAGGGTCAACAGCTGCATTCTTTTTCATCACTGCAGCATGTCTAGGTTTAGGCAGCTTTTTTACACGAAAGGCTGGACGGCTTGATCCGCAAACACTTGTTGGCAGTCTGGGTGCCCGTCATGGCACTTCACGAAGCAAATCAGTAGCCATTACAATGCGATCTCGAGATATCGAGTTGCAAAACACAAAAGAACTATGTGCAACAGCGCCAGACATTGCGGCTCCAAAACCGGAAGCAACCTTGACGCAGCCATTACATAGTGTTTTGCAGCATCACGTGGCAAACCCGCATGTATCTACGCACCTGGCAACAGAACATGACAACAATCATGCAGCCATTACACTGCGATCTGCAACCAAAGATTCAACAAGCGAATAGCACCACGCACACATGAACAACCACACGTTGCAGAACACCAAGGGGCAGCCAATTTGCGCCCGAAACACACAAGCTTCCCGTCATCGCCGGCTGCAGCCACTCTACACGGAAAACACAAGGTTTCGTGCTCCGGTTTCCTCCCCCCCCTTCGTCATCACTCTTCGTCCTCACTTCCCTAGGTCTCCACACCCTTTGTTCCCTTATTTTATGTGATGTATTGTTATGTGATGTAAAGTCTCACACCACCCTTCGTTGATGTATTGTCATGTAATGTACTGTTATGTGGTGTAAAGTTAAAGTCTCACAATTCTCTATTTGTTCGGAACTCGGAAGATTGCTTCCCAACTTCCTTTGATATACATATATATATATATCCCCAATAAATGTCCTTGGTTTGGGGGATCCACGTCCCCCACGACTGAAGGCTTTTTGCCCGGCGCTCCAAAGCGGGTGGGTGCAGTGGGACGCCTGGATAAGGAGACCACGGGATTAATCGCAACACGGCAGCATGGTGTAGCGATGGGGAGAGTCCAAAGCTGTGCGATTTTTTTTTCCAAAAATGGGTATGGATCAATACCTATAGATACATTTTTAGTGGGATGAACATCCATTTACCAGCTATTTTGGGGTTCACTAGGTCCCAGGGTTTTGACGCACTGCCAAGCGGGGTCTCTGGATTAGGGAGTGAATTCCTATACCAGGACAGCCACAGCTTGAACTTACTTTTGTATGTTAGTTTTGTTTCAAAAAAGGTTGGACTATTTGACTATTTGTTTAAAAAACCAGCCAAAAGTAAAAGATGTCTTGCTGCGTGGTTGATCAGCTGACAGTCTATTCGATTGTGGCCAGGTGGCGCAGATAGTTTTGACATGTTTTGACCATATGTGGATTGACCTAAATTACTATGCTATAAAAGCGTATGTGTATATATCTGGGTGAATTGGGTTCGACCTCACGCGACCGAACCCTGGAATCATGGTTTTTATATGGGAAAACATCCCGAAATGGTTTTAATTCAGGTTAGTGAAATAATATAATTTACCCATTTGTATATATATATATATATACAAACGTCTGTATATATATACTGTCTAATATAAATCGTTAATGCATATCTGTGGGATGGGTATCCCCGATCATACGAAGCCAGGTGATGACAGATGACAGGCACAGATTGAAATCGTGGGGTGAATCATTGGGCTGAAAAAACATGTACATCTACATGTAACATAATGTGAGACCCCCGTTCGATAGCTAAGTTGGTGCCAATAACTCCAATAACTATGGTTTATGGTACTTATAACAAAGCTATTGAAAATTGCAATTGAAAATGGTACCCTATGACTAGCATAGCTATTGAAAATTGCAATAGAAATAGTGGATTTAGCCATTGAAAATGGTGATTTTCCATAGTTTATGGAACATGTTAGTTTTGCTAAACCATGGTTTATGACAATTAGGGGGGTACCCCTCCAATTGGTAGTCACAATATGATACTTTTTTATGGTAACCTCCCAAAAAAAAAAACAATCGTAAACGGGGTTTATTAATCCAGGGTTGACATTACACACATGGACATATACACATGTAGACATATAGACATATAGACGTATAATGTACATGTTCATACATATATATATATATATAAATACTGATGTTTCCTAGACTGCGGTTACCCATAAATCATCCATTTCAATAGGATTTTTTTCAACAAAAACCATCCATTTGGGAGTACCCTCATTTATGGAAAACCCCACATATATATATACACATATACACATACACACGTGTATATAGGGTGATTTTTCCTCACAGAAAGGGTCTCTGGGGCAAAATTGAAGGCCCCCAGAAAACGGCTCCATACGAGCTTGACATCAAGACGTCCCTAGAGAAACCTGATGACACTGGTTCCAAAGATGGCTGGAAAACACTCCTGTTCAATGCTTGGATTCTTTGCCTATGGGTTTTGGATGAAGAGCCAAGATCATAGATCTTATCCTAAGATTCAACTGTGGAACTATGGTAACCATTTTTTTTATCCATTTTCTCATTTTAGATCCATCTTCATAGTGGTCCCTCCACATCCCAGCCTTGCAGGGAACTGAACTATGCCATCACTTCCAGCCCACTGGAGAAACGCTACGAAGTGACCGTGCTCCTGGCGGTGTGAAATGTGGCTGGCCCAAAAACGCTTGGGGCCAACAAGAAGGGCCGAAAAAAACAGCCACACAGAGGCCACAAAAATGGATATATATGGGGCTTCATGGTTCATAAGCCCATATGGCTATGGATCAATACCTATTAATACCATTTTTAGGGGGTTATTCACATCCATAAATCCCAGCTATTTTGATGTGAACAGAAGGGGTACAAGGTTTTGACACACTGCCATATATGGATCCTCAAGGCCAAAAAATGTTTGGGGTCAAAACAGCCAGGTATGTGGTCACCTAAGCCGTGACGATCTGAGCATCAAGTCCTTACGAGAGCCGCGGCTCGGCGGAGGGAAAATCATCGAACTGGGAAGAATTTTCCAAGCATTATACATGTTTATTACGGATTTCCATAGGGATTTCCATGGTTAATAATTAGTAATGGTTAATGATTGAATTTGAAGAAACCATGTTTGATGATTATGATTTTCTCAGTTATATTTGATGATGTTTGATTCTTTGGGAATGTTTGAAAAATGTTTGATGATTTTTCCAACTGGGAAAATCATGCCATGTTTGATTCATTTTGATTCCCAGTCATATGACCCAAGTCTTATAGTTCTTTCGGTTCTGTCTTCGACAGCCAGAGAAATAGATTTGCAATTTCGCACCGCCTTTGCAGCAGAGCATATATTTGCGGAGTATACCTCCGGGTAAACTCTGTGGGTTATGGTTATAGTACAGTACGGTTTGCCAATTTTGCTCAAATCTCAGTTGAACCGACTTGCATCATTCTGCCAAAATCTTCCTTTAGGTCCTAGGTCCTAGAGTCCTCACTTCAAAGAGGCAGCATCTCGATCAATTCAGGTATCGCTACCACCGGAAGGGCACCAATGCTGGAGAAGAACTGTGGACGAATCCGGCCGAGGCTCGAAGGGTGGGGCTTTCGATGGTGTTTGCTTTACGCTCGTTGAGAGTGTCTATAATCAAATCAAAGAAGAATTTTCTCACCTTTTTGTCTGGGATTAAGATGCTACGGTTTTTGTCAACTGCCAACTGCTGTTGAGTATTTGGCCTCATTTTTGTGTTACTGGGCGGGCTCGTAGTGATTGCCAGCCAGAAAAAAGTACAGCTCGAATCCTCATGGTTGCTGGTGACATGTACATGTTTGCCTTGAAATCTCAACATTTGCCAGTGAAATCCACCTTTTGTTCGTGTGAAATCTTGAGTTTTGCAGCTGAAACAAGCCCAAAAAAGTTCGGCACGACATCTTCCAAGAAAGGTACAACTAATGCGGTGCTGGCAAGAGGATCCTGGTCCAAAGAGGCATCAACCTGGGCTGCGCAGGATCTGTTTCAGGATTCAGGATGAGGGAAATGATATTTCGAAGAATTTCATAGACTGCTTGGTGGTTTCAAACATGTTTTTTTTTCCATTTCATATCTGGGATAATCCTTCCGATTAATTCTTTTTCAGAGGGGTGGCTCAACCACCAACCAGTAGATGTTCTCATTTCGTCCTTACACTATATAGATATAGAATGATGCAGATAGATATACTGCTGCGAATGATGGGTTAATCGGTTAATCTCTGCCCGAAAGAGCCACAAGCACTTGGCAGAAAGCCTGCCGAATAGTGGTCGATCTCTTGATTTTGGCGTCCGGGGTCCGGGGGACTAATGGATCTATATCCCATTAATGCTCACCATGGTGCTGGAATATGAATCCCACATTTTACCACCATAAATGGCCCATTAATAAATGGCCCAGTTTTGTAGGTATACCAGCACCATGGTGAGCTAATATGGGAATGGTATGGACGGTATGGATGTATTTTCTGGATCCAAATGATTGGATGAATTCTGAAAAGCCCACATCCAACATGCTTTCGTTGTTTTTCCCGGGGAATTTCAGGCTTTGGGACTTAGATTCGAGGTGGATCTTCGAGTAATTTGATCTCAAGCAGCTAAACCTGAAGATTTGCCTATGATTTCCATGTTCCAGATCGCAAACCGTTAGTTATTACATGTTCGTACATGTTATTACCAGCTTGTCCAAATGGTATTCGTCGCCGCCATCATTGACCATGTTTTTCGAAGCCAATCCCGGAAGGCCAGAGTTTCTGGGACGTCGTTCCTTGATTGAGTTCAAGATCCGCGAAGGAAAGTCGCCTGGCTGCGCCCCCTTGTTGAGTTGAGGGAAACCAAAATTGGTCAAGAAGCCAACAACAGACCTCTACTTGGGATCATTTACAGAACTTTCTGGTTAATGCGAGTTTTCACGATTTTTCATTTGGATTTTTATCTTCTACATACAATATCAGGAAAATCTGCACGACATATTTGAAACGGTTGATAAAGATGATTCCCCGCAGCTTGGGTGATGTTTCGATGTGGGAAGAAATCGGATTCTCTTAATCAGGAGCTAGTCGACAACATCGACGAGCCCTTCGTGAATGTTAACGTCTCTAACTGAAGCTATCTCACTTACAGTCGCCACCATTTATAGATTCTTATGATGATTTACCATGATTTACCGTATAAGAAATGGTGATTTTCCATAGCTAACCATAGAGTAACATAGATCTTGGAACCCTCCCTGAATTTTTTGGGACCAACCCCCCTGCCATCCCCCCATTTCCGACAACAACCGGTTTTCTGATCACTGAGGAACCGTCAAATTCGACGTTTGGTGCACCGCGCAGGAGGGACTCCTTGGATTTATGTGGGCAACGTGTTGATCTGTAGCGTTTGTGGGTAAGAAAACATATGTATTATATATATATATGGGTAAATTATAACGACCTCACTGCGACCTCACTGGAATCATGGTTAATAAGGGAAATCATCCCCAAATGGCCTTAATTCAGGTTAGTGAAATATTATAATTTACCCATATATATATAATATTACCTGAGCCACTCATATACGAAATTCTCTCCCGCTTGCGTACGGCTTATATAGGCGTTCTCCTAGTAGCTAGGTGGTTTAGAGTTTAGATTCTTTTATGATAGATCACCAGCTGTTCACGGTCCTTTGCCCCTCTTCCAATCATGGAGTAGCATGCAGTAAGCAGTTGAACAATACTTTCCAGCACGGAATTCTTCGGGTAAAACCTGCGCTTGTTGAGTCCAAGTGCAGTTTGTGATTGTGCTGCACTGGGAATTTGAAAGTGCACGACTGAACTGTGAGGAGCATGTCTGATAGACAGTGCTATTTTTCACGTGCTGTCTACCCTGAAGCCCTCTGATATCTTGCGTGCTATGAATTTATATGCAGTGATATGCAGAGCACCTTTCTTGACGTTGAATGACATTGATAGATTCTTCTCAACGGATTCTTGACTGGATTTTGCAGACCTTTGACTGCCTTGTCAAAGGGTCAGCAGAATGATTGGCCCATCAGGCAAAGTCAACGTTTGGGAGGTAGTTTGAATACGTTTGATTGGTATGCAGTGTATGCTCAGATATTGCACTTGTTGAGTCCAAGTGCAGTTTGTGATTGTGCTGCACTGGGAATTTGAAAGTGCACGACTGAACTGTGAGGAGCATGTCTGATAGACAGTGCTATTTTTCACTTGCTGTCTACCCTGGAGCCCTCTGATATCTTGCGTGCTATGAATTTATATGCAGTGATGTGCAGAGCACCTTTCTTGACGTTGAATGACATTGATAGATTCTTCTTAACGTATTCTTGACCGGATTTTGCAGACCTCTGACTGCCTTGTCAAAGGGTCAGCAGAATGATTGGCCCATCAGGCAAAGTCAACGTTTGGGAGGTAGTTTGAATACGTTTGATTGGTATGCAGTGTATGCTCAGATATTGCACTTGTTGAGTCCAAGTGCAGTTTGTGATTGTGCTGCACTGGGAATTTGAAAGTGCACGACTGAACTGTGAGGAGCATGTCTGATAGACAGTGCTATTTTTCACGTGCTGTCTACCCTGGAGCCCTCTGATATCTTGCGTACTATGAACTTATACAGTGATGTGCAGAGCACCTTTCTTGACGTTGAGTTGAATGACGTTGACAGATTTTTCTTAGCGGATTCTTGACTGGATTTTGCAGACCTTTGACTGCCTTGTCAAAGGGTCAGCAGAATGAGTGGCCCATCAGGCAAAGTCAACTTTTGGGAGGTAGTTTGAATACGTTTGATTGGTATGCAGTGTATGCTCAGATATTGCACTGGTTGAGTCCAAGTGCAGTTTGTGATTGTGCTGCACTGGGAATTTGAAAGTGCACGACTGAACTGTGAGGAGCATGTGCTGATAGACAGTGCTCTTTTTCACGTGCTGTCTACCCTGGAGCCCTCTGATATCTTGCGTGCTATGAATTTATATGCAGTGATATGCAGAGCACCTTGCTTGACATTGAATGACATTGATAGATTCTTCTCAACGGATTCTTGACTGAATTTTGCAGACCTTTGACTGCCTTGTCAAAGGGTCAGCAGAATGAGTGGCCCATCAGGCAAAGTCAACGTTTGGGAGGTAGTTTGAATACGTTTGATTGGTATGCAGTGTATGCTCAGATATTGCACTTGTTGAGTCCAAGTGCAGTTTGTGATTGTGCTGCACTGGGAATTTGAAAGTGCACGACTGAACTGTGAGGAGCATGTCTGATAGACAGTGCTATTTTTCACTTGCTGTCTACCCTGGAGCCCTCTGATATCTTGCGTACTATGAACTTATACAGTGATGTGCAGAGCACCTTTCTTGACGTTGAGTTGAATGACGTTGACAGATTTTTCTTAGCGGATTCTTGACTGGATTTTGCGACCTTCGACGCCTTTGTTCAAAGGGTCAGGCAGAATTGAGTGGCCCATCAGGCAAAGGTCCCAATTTTGGAGGTAGGGTAGTTGGAATACGTTTGATTGGTATGCAGTGTATGCTCCGATATTGCACTTGTTGAGTCCAAGTGCAGTTTGTGATTGTGCTGCACTGGGAATTTGAAAGTGCACGACTGAACTGTGAGGAGCATGTCTGATAGACAGTGCTCTTTTTCACGTGCTGTCTACCCTG